CGGCAAAGTTAGCAATTAATTTTTACCACGTATTTTATAGAATTTTCAACTTTTCAATCGCACATTTTATTAACTTTTATATAAATCTGCTAAAAATTTAAATTTAATTCCAACAAAAGCTTAGCAAAATTTGTAATGCAGTGACAAAACATATATAAGTTTGATATTGTTTCGTATGGTTAATTTTGAAAAATAAAGCTTTTACACTTGGAGAGATTTAGGACTCGAAATCCAGCTTATATGTTAACAGAGAGAGTTGAAGTCAAGGAAGTTAAATTGAGTGCAACTTTGGTTGGAATGAGGAAAAGGACCCAGTAGCGCCGTGTGGATTATTTGACAAAGGAATTAGTCTCCAGATGAAAGATTGTCGAGCCTTCTCTCCTCTCGAAGTGAAAATGATCGTAATCTCATTAAAACCACCTCCTTCAAAGCACTAATATAATGAAAGCCCCCTTAAAATAGTTGATGCCCTCAGCTTAAAGGTGTATTCATCTATAGCTTACAATTCAAAAATTATATGAACTCGCAATAGAAAAAGAATATACATATCGAAATTATGACGTCTAAATAGAGAAAATCATATGCAGAGGTATATTATAGTTAAAGAGAGGAATGGAAAATCAACTTGAAGCACGAGAACGAAGCCATGGACTACATCAACCAACCCAATTATTAATATTCCAAAAAAAATGAGACTTCAAATATCCCGCGAATGAGATTACATGCATGATTATCCCATCCTATTTACAGGTGAAAGACACATTCAAATATTTAAGAGGTCACACCGAGTATACACCTTAATCAACATACTATGACAACGTCCATATTTTAAGACAAACGGATCAATGTCATACTATGTTCATATTACAACTCTAAACAACAATTAGAAATCACTTTTTAGGAATATACATTCAACTAATCAAGTCACATTTCATTGAAGACTAGCAATGCAATTAACAAAATTCGACAACCAAATATATAAAGTAATGATCACCGTAACTATTTCTTACGAGTTCGTATACTTAAAGTAGTTTGCACAATTATACAACTTCGAGTACATAACTAAAATATTGCTCATAAATTACTAGTCAAGATCGTTTTCATAGTAATAACCATTTTTTGTATAAGGAAATATGCACTTTACATCTTCCACCTCTGTGAAATATAATAAATCTACCCTCAATTTTGTTTTAGCATAATCAATCCCCCACCGTTCTATTATGTAGCAAAACTCTACTTCCATCCAGCCATTGAACGGTGGATTTGCCCTCTTTCTCGAATAAATAAAAATAAAAAAGCAATAAAACAACAAAAAATTAATGAAAATTACAAATAGATTCCCATTACTTTTCGAAGGTAAAAATAATCACACTTCAATAAATACAAAACTACTTCTAAAAGTATTTTTTATTAAAAAAAAGTAGCGCTCAGCCAAACGAGCCCTTAAGTGTTAATGTCATTTCAAAACGGGGACTTCATTTAATTAGCCTAGTCAAACCAAATATTACTTTAAAAAGGTCAACAAGTTTGTTTTTTAGTTAGAA